TAATGCCAAACAGTCTTGCGACTCTTGCACACACGGGCCGGTGTATAGCATGAGGAGTGGCGTATCCAGAAACTTTGGTGAATGAAGGCAAACTTGACTACAATTTAGTCTCATATTTCACAAATAACAAATCACATTATTAATATTGTTTGATTAGATTTAGTTTATAATATCTATGTACAAGTATGAAAAAAAAAAAGAAGATTAATTTATATTAGGGGTGTGTAAAGATGTAATTGCAAATAAAATGTAATAAATTTACCTAAATATAAGTTAAACAGTCTTAAACATAACATAATTTAGTGAATTTTTTAGCCTTTCATTCTTTTAATATTAAAGAAAACACTTCTAATCCTATTTTTAGAATTTTTTTCTACATTTAACTCTTAATTTGAGTAATTTTTTGTAAAAATTTGGACATATATATAGGGGTTGAGTTGGGGTTGAGTGGGGGCAGCTGCCCCCGCTGCCCCCATACTAGGGCATCTGCTCCTAGTAAAATTTCAAAATTTTCACATATACTCCGTATATGATAAAGTAATTTTAATAATTATAAAATGGTTTGCCTCCAATGAAAAATTTTGTACCGCCCCTCCATAATTTTACAAGTATATGAATGCCTCTCTAAATATATGTGTTAGTTCATTTAAACAGAGACCAATTCAACTAATCAAAGTAATTTAAACATACGAAGTACTTCGTAACAAATACTCCGTACTACTTAATTATATGAAATATTTGCGATCAAATTGATGAGTTTGAATTATGTTGTACACGAGCTTAGTTATAAGCTTGAGTTCTATGATGTCTAGACGGAGCGTGAGGGGCCCTTGGAGTTAGAGCATCTCCAATGAGAGAGTGCGTTGCAGTGATGTGGCATAGGAAAGAGATAGAATAAATATTTGGATGAAGTGGTGTGTAGGAAAAAAATGAAAAAGAGAAGAGAGATAGAGATAAAAAATGGATCAAGATCTATGACAAGGTCCATATATGGACCTTACACGAGATTCATGGAGGAAAAGTTGATGAAAAGTGTGTTAAAAGTGATATAAAAAAAGGAAAATGAAAATAAATTAGAAAATGCCACTACCAAAAAAATATGGGATAGACAAGGATTTTGACAGGGATTATGCCAAATCCGTGCCAAAAACACTTGACACGAGCTATTTGGCACGAAAAATTGATAATCCGTGCCAAAATTATGTGTCAATCCCGTGTTTTTTTTGTAGTGTGCGTGGGTTCTACATATAAAAATTGTGAGATAAAAAATGGGACCCTTGCGCAAGGGTGCGTAAGAAACCACACCATTGCATCAGAGTTGCGTTAGAGCATCTCCAATACTTGAAGTCCATTGTTGTTGATGTGGCAAAAATCCTAGTTTGGTCTATTGAGTGAGAAGATCCATTCGTCTATGTCTCCAATGCAAGGAGTTGAAAAGAAAATTAAAAGACAAAAGAAATACTACCAACGTCCCAATTTAGTTGGTCATCTTTGACTTTTCCAGTCAAAGATTATAAATTTTGATCAATTATTTTAACTAATATACTTATGTAAAATTTAAAAATTTTATAATAGTATTTTGACAAAAAACATTTTTATATACTTTTCAAATTATCAATACTTATGTGTCTAAATATATAACCAGTCAAACTTAGACATCATTGACTTGAAAAATAGTGTTTGGCTAACTAAAATGGGACAGAGGGAGTATATATGAATTAAAGTGAAAAGGCTATATGTATTTAGATAAGTGGCTAGCTATGTTTAACGACCCACAAACATTATTTTAGCTTTTGGGGTTCCATTGGAGATCCATTTGAGACCTTGTTAATTTCAAGACATTTTCCATTTTTTACTTTGCCAAGTCAGCAAGACTAGACTCATTTATTTGTGCATTGAAGAGGAGATTTTAACTATAAAAGTTTATTTGATAATGTGAAAGTGGAATAGACTCTTACTCCCTCCGTATCACATATATCTTCCCACTTTCAAAGTGGGTGAGATTAAGAATAGTGAAATGGGGTATGAAATATTGAGGGTATGATAGGAAGATGATGAAATAATGTGATGGAGTGAAGGATAAATCCAAAAAAAGTAGGTATAGTAGTGTATTATTTTTTAAATTATTGAGGGCATGATGGGAAGATTTAGAAATGGGAAGATATAAATGTTACGTCCAAAAAAGGAAAGTGGGAAGATATGAATGTTACGGAGGGAGTATATTGGAGATGCCCTTAGAGATTCGACCTTTTAGACCAAGCTTGAGTTTTATGATATTAGGGAGTGTTTGGAACTGATTCTGCTTCTGCTTCTTTTATAAATTAGAAGCAGAATCAGAATCAGTTTTCAAAAGCTAGTCCCCCAGCTTCTAAAAAAACTGATTCTAAGAGTAAATTAGAGCTCCGAAATCACTTCTGCACTTTCACCCAAACACTCCAGCTTCTGCTCCCTAAAGGAGCAGGAGCAGTTTTAAGAATCAGATCCAAACACCCCTTTACACGGCCAAGCTAGCCGCCAAGCCACATAAGGGTTAGAGGGGGTCTCCTCCTCTTTAGTCCTCACCCGCTCATTTTTGGCCGGTGCATGTATATACACAAGTACGTACATAATTAAATACTTATGGACTTATGGTGTATAACTATTATGTTCTAATATAAATAATATTTGACTCTAGTATTAAATATTCTAACCTTTGATCTCCTTAATAAAAAAGCTCTCACTGACTACTCTATTTATGCCCCTAATAGATATATTTTCTATATTCGCCAGTGCATGCATGCACGGTGCACATATAGCTTAACGATTGCTGAGTGCCTGAGCAAGCCTATTGAGGTCTCATATTCGATCTCTAGCGGCAACAGTGTGTGAGTTTGGTAGTTTCATTCAATGTAATAACTTGTTTTGTATACGACCAAGCCCAAAACATCCTACTAAAAAGGTGATTTTGTTCATTTCGTGGGTTGTTAGTGGTCCATTCCATTGAGTGAAGATATGAGATCTAAGGTGTTAGAGACTGTATAACCAAGGTCCAAGACCTATCCATCGATCCGTTTTTTTGGGTCCGTTTCTGAAGAGCCGCGAGTTTCCGTACAGTTTTGGGCCGTACAGATGTGGGCCTCGCGCGCGTGTCCTATTATGTTTAGGGGTTATGTTTTACTCTATAAATACAAACTCTCTCCCTTGTAATCACTTAATCCGAAATTAATAGCAATTCCTGGCTTGGTAACGCCCCAGACGTAGTGATTCATGGCGAATTTAGTTAACAAATTTCGTGTATTTTTTATTATTGCTTTTCGTGTTAGCGTTATTTAAATCATAACATGGGATGGGACTATGGGAGTTGTGGCCTGTGGGTAATGGGAACCGAGTTCCCTGGCAACAAAGATAACATACATTCAATGTGCTATGAATTGGAAGTACGACGCACATGAACTCTACAAGTAAGTGGATGGTAGGCCAGGCTACTAATCAAAGAAACAAGTTACCTTCAATTCATGACATCTAACGACTACCCACCAACCATTCATAAATACTCCCTGGCCCACCTATGACACGTGTTTGCCAACTGGCCGCCAGTTTAACAATTTTGTTTTAAAAAACAAATTAGTTTAACACAAATTTCTGCATCTCCACTTGGGCAGATGATGTCACGCCGGGCTATTTGGGGGTCCTTCTTGATGAAATTTTTCTTGATAATTTTCGACCATGTTTTCATAAGTCTAGTTTATGAATATCAAATTTAAGCTAAAAATTCATTCGTGAAGACAGTTAAAGAAAAACTTTAAAAAAATTGTGCTTTATATATATATGAACAACACATTTTTTATACAATTTATTTGACTACTTTCCCGAGTGAATTTTTTGCTGAAGTTTGGTATGCATAAACTACACTTCATGAAGAACATGTTCAAAACATTTCATCAAAAAGTTATATTGAGAGTCTGAGAAGGACCTCAAATGCCCTCGGTTGGACGGCGAGCCCTGTCAGACCGCCTGACAGGATGGCCACTCATATATACCGGGCAAGAATAAACTTAAGCAAAAATAAGTGACCACTTGATTCAATTCCTGCCCAGGATTAAATAACGATATATTTTATGCGACAAAATTTAGTCGAAATGATTTTTAAACTTTGAACAATGACTTTAGTGATTATATTTATGTTAAATTTATGTATTGTTTTATGAAAGCACTTTTGCCAAGGAATTTTATGTTTTCATATAACTTTCATATTTTAAGCAATTTGATACGTAGTATTAATTACTCCCTCCGTATCAAATTACTTGACCCACTTTCCTTTTTTGGTGTATCAATTTAATTGACCCGTTTCCCTTTTAGGAAAGAATCTCACTCAAAAAGCAGCTACAGTACTGCTACAGTACCGCTACAGTGTCGCTACAGTACCAAAAACCTCTTACTTTTAATAAAGTCTACAGTAATTGTCTTAAACTGCGTGAAAAGCAAACGGGTCAATTAATTTGATACGGAGGGAGTAGTAATTACTGAATGAACTTAGGTTTATTACCCAAAATGGGACTAAAAAAGTTTGAAAATTCCAAAATAGGACTTCCATGTTTTTATTCCCAAAATAGGACTAATTACTGTCATGTTTTGGCAGTACCAGACTTCAAACATGGCAGTATTTTCCAAATTTGGCAGTAATTAGTCCTATTTTGGGAATAAAAACATGACAGTCCTATTTTGGAATTTTCGAACTTTTTTAGTCCCATTTCGGGAACTTTCCCATGAACTTAAGATGTTTAAAAAAAATGAACTTAAGATCTTAATATATACTTCGTGTATCAGAACCAAAAAAGATTCATAACAGTGTGGGCACATAGAACAGTGTGGGCACATAGAAAGAAAATGGCAATGATCAATAAAATGCACATGGTGCATATATACAAGCTTGCCGGTAGATTAATTTAAACTATAAAATGCACATTTTGTGAGTGTATATATATATGGGCACAGGGCACATGCATATGTACACCGTAGAGGTGGCGTCCCACATACTATACATACGCGTAGTATATATATGGATCAAAAGTAACACTTATTCGTCCCACACCGTAGATTAGCTAGCTTCAACACGTATCTAGCTGCAGGTGGCCACGCACATCTTTTGATCCGATCCATCTGAACTGAAGAAGAATGAGTACTGGTGGCGGCACCTCATCAAGGAAGAAGAAGCTGCTTCTTCTTTTGCTGCTCTTTGTGACGGCGGCAGAAGCACAACTGACATGCAACGACGTCGTGACCAGCCTCTCACCCTGCCTCAACTTCGTCACGGGAGGAAGCACGGGTGCTGCTCTGCCGCCCGCGGGGTGCTGCGCCGGGATCAAGTCATTGTTCGCCGCCGCTCAAACCACCCCGGATCGCCGCACTGTCTGCACTTGCCTCAAGACCGTTTCTTCCAGCGCCACCACCGCCCAAATCGGGCGCGCCGCCAGCCTGCCCACCGCATGTGGTGTCGCCATACCGTACAAGATCAGCCCTCAGGTTGACTGCTCCAAGGTCAACTGATCCAAATATATCATATATATGCATGCTCGAAGCTGCTATATATCTAGCTAATCAATTAAGGGTCAATCAATTCAATAATAATGCATTGCAGGCATGTTATCGAATTTCCTTTATTTTTCCGATCCATCTCCGTGTTCGCATCTACTAATTGCATGCGTGGTCGATTTTATTTGATGCCAAAATATTGTACGTTCAAATAATTTGTCATCATCATTATTGTTATTATATTTTGTGTACCTGTTATTGTTGTTACGGGGGCGGATCCAGGAATGAGGGGTGGGGTGGGCTAAGCAGTAAAAATTTTCGTTACTGCATACAAAAGGTTTAGCTTAGGACTGATAGTTATTGAACTGAGTTTTTTTTCGAACTACTCGAGTTCGATCGTGATTTCGAATTTAATTTATTGACCAAAACTTAACGAGCTTGAATCTCGAACACGGGCTAAATTTTAGTTTAAATAGTTTGTTTTTACAAAAAAAAAAAACGACCGTTATTTTTTTGAGTTTGAATAGTTATTCAAGCTGAATTCGAGCATATTTATGTTCAGTTCGATCTGGAGTCGAGCATATTGATAACTTATAAATTATAGAAACAAACTATATACTACCTCCGCCCACTTTTATTAACACTAATTTGACTTTTCAAGTCAAAGAAGTTAAACTTTGAATGACTATATATTTATACAATAAAATTGATAATATGAAAATGAAACGGAATTGTTCTTTGTTAAAAAGTTTATCATAAAAGTATAAATTTAGTAAGTTTCACATTAATACATGAGTTAAAATGATGGATCAAAGTTTACTATCTTTGACTAAAGAGTCAAAGATGGCTAAATAAAATGAGACGGAGGTAGTATATCTAAAATTTAAACGTTTTTAGTGTGATTTATAATTTTATTATTGATTATTAAAGATTTTAGTATTTATTGATATGAATTAAAATACAGTATAAAACTAATAAGTAAAAAAGTTAGAAGGAATAGTTTCACCGTGACGATGCCTTTGGCATCCCTTCAATATATATAGGAGTTGTACAAGTATTATCGGTAGAGTAAGACGTCTGCATGGGACTCTTCTATTCAACGAATCAGTTGAATAACCGAGATACCTACGGAGCTAATGATAACTCTGCTACATAGCTGTACAATAGGATAATATCAAATAAATGTACATGATAAATATTGATGCTATCCGTTGGAGTGAAGTTCGGCTCACGTATGCATGTGTATGTGTTCTATCACGCCCCTGCAGTTTGAGCGTGGGGTTGAAGAACGTTCAAACAGGTTCGAAATTCGTCAAAGAGAATCCGGGGCAGACCCTTTGTAAATATGTTGGCATATTGGTAGCGTGAAGGGACATGTAGGACCTTAACTTGACCCAATGCAACGCGTTCCCGGACAAAGTGGATATCCATTTCAATATGTTTTGTACGTTGATGTTGAACTGGATTTTGTGACATGTATATAGCACTAACATTATCACAGTATATTACGGAGGCTTGAGAGAGAGGATGCCGGAGTTCAAGAAGGAGATTACGCAGCCAACAAATTTCCGCAACGGCATTGGCGACGCCGCGGTATTCCGCTTCGGCACTGGATCGGGAAATGGTGGGTTGACGCTTGGATGACCAAGAGACAAGGTTATCACCTAAGAAGAGGCAGTACCCAGAGGTTGACCGGCGAGTGTCCGGGCACCCGCCCCAGTCGGCATCACTATAGGCAGTTAGTGTAGGGCTGGCAGAGGCTCTTAAGTGAAGACCATGGGACAAGGTGCCTTTAACATACCGTAGAATACGTTTAAGAGCCTCAAAATGTTGGAGCCGGGGATCGTGCATGTGTAGGCAGACTTGTTGGACAGCATAGGAGATGTCCGGCCGGGTGAAGGTGAGGTATTGTAGAGCACCGGCCAAGCTACGATATAATGTAGGGTTAGAGACGGGCTGGTCGGCATTGGTGCTGAGCTTTGCTTTAGTATCGACTGGGGTATGAGAGGGGTTGCAAGATGTCATACCAGCCCGATGAAGAATATCCGCAGCATACTTTTGTTGAGACAAGAAAAGAGCACCGGGGGAATATGAGACGGATAGGCCGAGAAAATAAGTGAGACGGCCAAGGTCTTTAATGGAGAATTCTGCAGCTAATTGGGAGATGAGGCGGTTCAGAAGTGAAGTGGAAGATGCCGTTAGGATAATGTCATCGACGTATAAGAGAAGATACGCGGTATGGTTGCCATGATGATATATAAATAAGGAGTGGTCCACCTGACTGTGCTTAAACCCCAGTGTGGCGGCATGAGAGGCGAAGCGGTGATACCATGCCCGGGGAGCTTGTTTTAAACCATAGAGTGATTTTTTGAGCAAACAAACATGAGATGGCCGGGAGGAGTCCTTAAAGCCGGGGGGGGGGGGGGGTTGATGCATGTAGACAGTCTCGTCAAGAAACCCATGTAAGAACGCGCGTTGTTGACGGCTAATTGGTGAAGTGGCCAAGAGTGAGACAAAGCAATGCTGAGAACCGTACGTATAGTAGCCGGTTTTACCACGGGACTAAACGTCTCATCACAATCAATACCGGGACGTTGAGATTTTCCGTTTACGACTAAGCGTGCCTTATGCCGTTCCAAGCTGCCATCAGACCTGTGTTTATGCTTAAATAACCACATGCAGCGAATGACATTAGCGTTAGGCGGACGGGGAACCAACTCCCACGTCTTATTATTAATAAGAGCAGTAAATTCAGAGATCATGGCTGATTTCCAATTGGGATCACGGAGGGCATGTGTATGGGATTTTGGAAGTGGGGATGGGGTGAGTAAAGCAGCGGTCTGGGTGTGGAGATTGTAGATAGGATTGGGACGAAATACTCCAGCTTTGCTGCGAGTAATCATGGGATGGGAGGGTGCGGGGGTGGGTTATTTTCCGGAGGGGAGTTATGTGGTCCAGGGGATGGGGTAGTTTCTGGAGGTGAGGCAGTATGTGTTGGTGAGCTATTTGGTCCAGAAGATGGGTTATGGTTGTCTGGTGGGACAGTAGGCGTTAAGATGGGGTTTAGGTGGGATAAAATATATGGAGAAATGGTGGGTTCCAGGAAATCATAATTTGGTGTCGGGGATGGTGGGGTTGTTTTAAAAGGGAAGGTGGACTCGTCAAAGGTGACATGGCGAGATATGAATATACGATGTGTAGATAAGTCAAGACATTTGTATCCTTTGTGTTGAGTGGGAAACCCAAGGAAGACACTGGGGGTAGTTCTAGCGGAGAGTTTATGAGGTGTGGGAATATGCGGATAACATAAACAGCCAAAAGTACGGAGGTGAGCGTAAGAGGGTTGTTGGTGATAGAGGGCGTGAGTGGGAGTTTTATAAGAAAGGGATTTTGTGGGAAGAATATTGTGTAGGTAAGTAGCCATAAGTACGGCGTGCGGCCAGTATTGAGTGGGAATGGAAGCATGGAGAAGTAAGGTACGAGTAATATTATTAATAGAACGAATCTTTCGTTCGGCTTTCCCATTTTGTGGGGAAGTGTAGGGACATGAAAAACGAAATTGGATTCCATGGGTGGAACAAAAATTATGAAAAGAGGAATTGTTATATTCACGTCCGTTGTCACATTGTAAAGTTTTAATGGGAATGCCAAATTGAGTTTGTACAAATGTATGGAAATGAACAAACGTAGAGTATGCTTCGGATTTATGACAGAGTGGATAAATCCAAAGAAAATTTGTGAAATCATCCAGAAATAAAATATAGTAGCGGTGACCCGTGGAACTTAAAACAGGTGACGTCCAAAGGTCACTATGCACAATATCAAAGGGAGCATAAGTAACAGATAAAGATGGAGGAAACGGTAATTTATTATGCTTTCCTAGTTGACAAGATTCACAAACACGTGTGAATATTTTATTACAATCAATGTGATGATTATTACGAAGACTACTAAAAATAGAAGGGCCAGGGTGACCAAGGCGGTCGTGCCACACGGTGGAGGAGATGCCAGCGAAACCGGAAACAGACGAACGGACGGATGGGCTACACACCGGGTACAAATCACCTTGACTGTTACATCGCATGATCGAGGTTCTTGTACGAAGATCCTTCACAGAAAAACCAAGTGGATCAAATTCAACAGATACACGGTTATCAGTAGTGAATTTTCGTACAGAAATTAAGTTCTTAATAATATGTGGAGTGTGTAGAACATGGTTAAGGTGTAGAGGGGGGTGTGGGTTGGGTAATTTTGTGTGACCGTGACCCGTCACCGGAATGGACGAGCCATTACCAACCATGATACTGTGTCTAGAGCCCGTATTAATAAAAGACGAGAGAGTACCTGGGTCTGCTGTCATGTGTGAGGAGGCCCCTGTATCCATATACCACGTGTCAACAGGAGGATTGAGGGTCAAAGCATGCATGGCATTTGAGACATCCGTGGGAACATAAGTGGGAGAAGGTGCCATGGGTCCGACCGTGAGAGCTTGAGGGCGGGGTCCGAGTATGCCAGCAGAAGGGTGACGAGGAGCAACCGGATTACCTGGAACTGTAGGGTAGGGACACGGTGGCATGTTCCAAAAATGCGGCATCCATGCAGCCCATGGTGGTATAGCCCATGGAGACGGGACTGGAGCAGTTGATCCATGAGGCAGGTCGGCATGACGGCCACCGCCCCGGCCACCGCGTCCTTTGCCACGGCCAGAGCTTGGACGCCCTCCTCCGCGGCCACGGGAACCATAAGAGGACGAAGGTGCCTGTGCATCCGGACGGGAAGTCGTCGTCGAAACAAGCGCGGAAGCAGTGGATGAGGCCGGGGATATGGCAAGTTGATGTTGACGACGTGTTTCATCCAGAAGCAGCATGGATCGGGCTTTCTCAAACGACGGCAAGGGTTCTGTTTGTTGAATGAAAGATGCAACAGTCTCACAGGCCGGAGGCAGGCCATGAACTAGGCGGAGCACAAGACGGTTCTCGTTGACCGGAGACCCGACGTTGGCTAGTTGAGTAGCAATGGTACGAAGAGCCTGACAGTAAGCCGAGATATGATGGAGGGAAATTGCTCCAAACGAGTGTTGGAGAATTTGTCCTCGAGATGAAGGGCTCTGGAATTTTTGTTATCCTGGAATATATCAGCCAGGCGAGTCCAGGCGGCCATGGCAGTGGAGTTTGGTTCCAGAATTGTGTGTAAGAGCTCGTGAGATATAGTACCATATATCCACTGAAGGACGAGAGCATCAATACGGTTCCAAAGGGCCTTTTCCTCAGCCTCA